ACGTTAATTCAGGAAAACGGGATTCCTCAGGGTTCTGTTCTGAGTGTCACTTTGTTTGCTATTGCGGTAAATGGTCTGGCTGATAGATGATCGTTTAATCAGGCCTCTGTATTTCGATGGCCTTTGTCCAAAAAATAAACAAAAAACATTAAAAAATATGAAAAACTATGATAACAATAGACTTTAAAAGTATAACCTATTACATTTGATTATACTTTAAAATTTCTATAGGCTCAATTCTGCTCATATATGCACTTGTGTACATGTGCAGAACCGAGCCTATGACGATCACCCAATTCTGTGTTTTAGTGGCCGGGCTCAGAACTTCGTCATATCCGTACCAACATCGTATCGACAACAAGGTCATTTCAGCATTCTATTACTCATTCTTAAATAAATTCTCTTTTATTTATATACCTTTTACTCAAGTAAGGAGACGGCGTACTAGATATTTCCATCACCATTTATCTCGCGTATTGACAACTATACGTACAATACATAGTTCATGAAGGTCGGTAAGGTACTTGATATAGACACTCTTGTACTACACATACATGCACGCATGTAAATATATACATCCTCACGAAACAGTTAAAATATCACCAAATTATGTATATATAAATTATAGTATATATTCATCACATTACCCGCAGTAAACAAAAGTTTCTATATATTCAGAATTACGCCAGTTTCTTGCAGAAATCGTAATAGGGGACCCAAAGGTTCGTTGCCGTGCTCAAGATCTCGTATCAGGCGGCATGCCTACTTGCTCCCTATATGGAGCCAAGGAACGTCATCCTTAAATCATGTGGGGGCAGATTGAGCAAAGTTTCTATATATTCAGAATTACGCCAGTTTCTTCCAGAAATCGAATAGAGGATCCAAACGTGTGTTGCCATGCTCAAGCATCTCATCGGGCAGCATGCCTTCTTGCTCCCTATTTGGAGCCAAAAAACGAACCTTTCAATCATGTGGGACAGATTGCGCAAAATTTCTATATATTCAGAATTACGCCAGTTTCTTCCAGAAATCGGAATAGAGGATCCAAATGTGCGTTGCCGTGCTCAAGCATCTCATATCGGGCATCATGCCTTCTTGCTCCCTATTTGGAGCCAAAAAACGAACCTTTCAATCATGTGGGACAGATTGCGCAAAATTTCTATATATTCAGAATTACGCCAGTTTCTTCCAGACATCGGACAAACGTGCGTTGCCGTGCTCAAGCATCTCATATCGGCCGGCATGCCTACTTGCTCCCTATATGGAGGTAAGAAGCGACACCTTCAATTCTGTTGGACAGATTGAGCAACCCTTCTCTCCATGCCGTGCATATCAGCGGGCTTCGTTTCAAAAGTATGTGTTCGTATGTCACTCAGTATTCTAAAAATAAAAATAGATTTCTATATCGTATAAAAAATTACATTACTTATATATTGTATGTCAAATTATTAAATTTGGTGATAATGGATGACTCAAAATTGTTAATACTTTAATATAAGTAATTTTAATTTTATAGTGCTGATGAAAGAAATATCCAAACAAAAAACTAACCGTGAAACAAGAGCCAAGTTCGAGACTTCCTTCAAAACAATTATCCTATATATGTAATGATATCTGCACTGAGGCCAGTCCGTTCATTTTTAGTCCATAATCTGAGAGAACTCAAACAAAAATATAATAGTTCCAGACTCCCTCCCAAAAATTTCAGCCTATCAAAGAAGTGATATCTATATAGTGGTCAACCTCACTTCAATATTACTTTTCTTTTTTGAGCAACACTTTTTTATTTATATTGCTTAACATTTAGTCAATTTCTGAATGAGCGCTGAGGAGTCTGGAACTTTTTGCTTTCTTTTTTGTCCTTTACCTTTCCTTCACCCATCTCGCCCGTGTGAGCACGCATGGTACTGATGTTTTATTCCTTAGAAAGTGATCAAGTGTGAAGCAATAAAAATAAAAGTTGAGTTTATGTATAACAGAGCAGTCATCAATGTCCCAAATGACTTGCTCAATGGTGCCGTTGGATTCGTCGGCTTAGACCGACATCAATATTTATCCGCAACATCGCACGAGCAACTACCTTTCACGTTTCTACCTATATAAGCAGAGCCTTATAATTTGGATAAAGCGGCATTAATTTTAAGAAAATAACAATTTTAATATTTTTCCATTTTTGCCCATATACGACCTACCTTTGTATTAAATTTCACGTTTTTACCTATACAAGAAGTGCCTTATAATTTGGAAAACAACCCCCTTCCCTTCTTAAAGCAGCACTAATTATGAGAAAATTACAATTTTAAGATTTTTCCATTTTTTACCATATATGGCCTACCTTTGTAAAACATTTCGTGTTTCTACCTGTACCGGAAGTGTGGTAAATCTTGCCAAACCTACATTTGTGCCCAATATATTATTTCTACTTATACAGGAAGTGCCTTATAATTTTGATGTTGAGACTACCCCCTCCTCCCGTAGAGCGCCATTAACTTTGGAAAAATTGAAATTTTCAAATTCTTACTTTTTTATAGTAGAAAACCTAACTTTTTACCAAATTTCATTTTCTACCTACAATGGAACTGTCTTATCATTTTCTTGTTCCTTCCTAATGCAACATTCAGGAAAATTGTAATTTTCCGATTTTTACATTTTTTTAAAGTGCTATATAATTTTGATAACGAGACTACACCCTCCCACCCTAAATTAATTTTAATTAATCACTAATTTTAAGTAAATTGCAATTTTTATATCTTCCCTTTACTTCCAATGTAAAACCCACATTTTTTACAGAATTTCACGTCTAGCCATTCGAGAAGAACCTTCTAATTTTGATGATCAGTGAGTCAGTCAGTAACAAAAATGAAAATTTTGAAATTCTCCCCATTCAAAAAGGCTTAATATTAACTACTCAAATTTTACACTGTCCTAAACGACTTATGCCTAATTAATGTTTCAAATTTCAAAAGCCCATTTTTAAAGGAAGATATAAGGGTGAGAAAACCGGGTGAATTCATTCGAGTAAAAAGAACTGGAAGATATATAATGGGTCATAAATATACTTCTTAACGATAGAAAAACATTACGCTACTTATTTTTATTTTTTCTAAAAAAATACACGTGGATATTTGATTCTATTCATGCACATTTTATTTTGCTATAACATTTTTTCTTTTCTAAGCGCTAACTCATACAATTACGGGAGTTGGGAACATTGGCAGAGACGATAAATCTGACCAAAATATATCAATATTGGTTTAAACAATATTAAAGTTTTAGACTATTTTTTGCCCATCCATTTCCCAGCCGTTCAAGAGCCAGACCACACACCGGCAGAACAATTTATTAGAATTTAGGTCTATAAAAGGATCAGTCTTACTTTCGCATTTATATTCTCTTCATTTAAGAAGAGTTGATAAAGGAAAGGTTACTAATTATTTTTCTTTGTACATTTTGTAACTTCAAGTTTACTGCAGAGTGGTCTCAGATTTGTTGGTTCCGTCTTTCCTGGGAAATAGGGAAACAACCCTCTACACCCTACCAATTTTTTTTGAATAAATAATTTAATAAAAGTAAATAAATAAGTTAATAATTAATATACAATATAGAAGTAAGCTATAAAATTTATAAATTTGTGTACTTAGGAAAGAAACAATTTTATGAGAAGCTATCTATGATTGTTGGGTATAAAATTCTCCAACAAGAACCCCTTGAAAGGCTTGTATGTTTCCACTTTTTTATTAAATCATTTAAAGCTAATGGACATCGTTGTAGAAAGAGAGATCTCAGGCGTACTCTTTATTCCGCAAATATTACACATATTAAAAATCATTGATGTTTGTTTCAATGCATATTTGTAACACACAGTGCTATTTTTAACCCTTGAAGTTACTGATTATTTGGAGATCGTTAGGTGCGATCTGCTGTGACAGGTTTTAGAAAAACAGTCTCTTTATCGTGCCAACGTTTCGATCTTTCTTCAGATCATCTTCAGGGCTCAAAGAGTTTGTTTTCCGTGTAGATGTACATTCTTGTGTGTCGTGTTGATTTGAAGATACTGTTGAAACGTTCCACGGCCTGGTACAATTTGGGTATTTAGAAATCTGGAAGGACCCAAGTCAAAGCTATACTTTGTCCTATATTTGGGTTATATTCAAAGGTTTAGATGTAAGAGGTTTTATTGATTTACCGAATTTTCTTGTTAGCATTTGTTTTTTAAATTTTAATTACTGTACGTAGTAATAGTATTGTTCTGAAAATATCTCTGTTACTCAACAATTACTTATCTACTTTGTTTATAAAATCCGTAAAAAACTACTGTTAACTCAAAATCTTATGTAGGTAATGTATTTAGCTAAAATAAGCCAGTGTCGGTTTAAATCTATTAAAAGTTAAATCTTGTAGTAAAGAATTTTATGCATCACATTTTGAGTTGGTTTTCTTTGAATGTATTAACCATGTTTGTACGATGTTATAAAAAGGGAAACGTTTAAGGCGAAGATAAAAGTGAGGTCAAGAAAAGTTCATTGATCTGGAGAAGGAACGATAAAAAATCGAGGTGCTAGGGAGGAAGAGTTTGAAAGATGTGTTTTTCCGCTCCTCCTCCTCAGGGGAGATCCTCGGGATATTGCGATGTATTCGTGCCCGTCGAGGGCCCTAAAATGGAGTACAAGTTAAGAGCCGGGAAGTGAGCACTTCAGCCTAAGTGCTTTCTCCTTCCTAGCTGTATCCAAGCCGCAAATCAATGCCGCCCCCGACCGCCCCCACCTTCACAACCTACACCTTCAAATTACCTAGAGAGAGTTTACTCCCCGCTTGCGGCCGTTTTCTGAAAGGAAAACTTAGTTGAATACCTCCCTTGACAAAAGGGAATAACGAAGTGGTTTATTCCCGCCCTGATTGCTCCTTTATTCTCTCCTCTTCTCCTTTTAACACTTTCCCTTCACTTTTTCAATTGGCAATTTCTCGTTTTTAATTTCTTTTCTCTTGTTATTTCGTTTCAGGCTAGGCCTCATGGGTCACCTCGGAGCGTTACCGTTGTTATTTCCAAGCCACCACCCGTCCAGTCCATCTTTGGATAAACCATGGTACAGTGCGGCAGTCGCAGCCGCCGCTTGGGCCAGAGTTCAGCCACCTCCGATCAGCCCCACCGGTAACGATTTTTTTAAGATCGTAACAGATTGGTTTTTTAATAACAATTTTAAAAAGCAGACAACAAGAGGCAAGTTCACAATAAGAAACACAAAAACTAATATTAGTTAACCATTTTGTTCAAAATACGCTTCCTATTTATTAATGATGTTAAAAATTAAAGTTAAGTAAAATGTTTAAAATGATAAAAAGAACTATATTAAAGAAAGTCTTTTATAATTAAGAAAAAATATTGACAACTTCACTTTAGTCATTAATGAAAAAACAAATGAAATTAAGTCAAAATTACGAAAAATCCAGTCGTTTCAAAATAAATCGAAACGCGAAAATACTTGTGTCAAAGAGGAAAACAAAAATTTAGTTCAATCCTAAGAGGAATTGTTAAACAATTTGGAATAAATACTTTACTAAACATTTAACGGGGGAAAATTGTCGAACGCAAGTAAAAAAAATCGAAAAATTATAACATAAAAATAGGGTTCATCAAACTTTAAATAGTGAACGACTCATTGGCCACAAAACTTCAATTCCTTAATTTTTGATGGTTGTTTTACGATTGCAATCAGAAAATTTTAATTTTTATCAAATCATATTGGCCAGCATTTCAAAGTTATTGCCTCTTAATACATTAAAGTAAGTTTTTGTAATTAAGAAAAAATATTGACTACTTAAACTTAGTCATTAATCATAAAACAGTTGAGTTGGAAAAATCGAGTAGCTTAAAAATAAATTATTCAGAAATCGTGAGATGCGGTCTGGTGTGATGTAGGTTTCAGAAAATTATTTTCTTTATCGTGCCAACGTTTCGATCTTTATTGAGATCATCTTCAGGGCTCAAAGTGTTTGTCTTCTTGTCTCGTCACTCTCAACACGACATGCAAGAATGGTACAATTACACCGAAGACAAACACTTGGGTTTTGTTGAGTTCATGTACAAAATGGATGATTAGGTCGTTATGAGTAGTGTAATTTTAAATATAAAAAGGATCATTTATAATTTGACGGAGAATTTTAGTTTGGATTGATTGGAGATGTTGAGAATTGGAATCCTCGGTTGGGCCAACAATTCACAACCGTACGCCCAAAGAGGTCTAATCATTGTCTTGTAAATTAAACGTTTGTTTTCAATGTCTAATTTTGATCGTGAGTCAAGTAGTCTTTTCAATAATTTATAACGTCGGTTTGTTTGCTGTATTTTTAGTCTTGTGTGAGGATTCCAAGTCAGTCGTTTATCCGTGAAAAGTCCAAGATAACGCAATGGGAATATACTCATTACAGGACAGATATTTTTACGTAATGTAAAATTTATCTGTACGCTTTTCGCTAGGTTTAAATTTTATTCTCCTCTTTGTGAACCAAACTGTTAATTCATTCAGGTGTTGTTGAAAGTGTTAAGTGTTAATTGAGAGGTCCGAATTGCATAACAATCGCTGTATCATCAGCGAATATGTGTTGAAATGTTCACATGTGTAGGAATATCTACAGTGTATGGTGAAAATAGAAATGGGCCAAGTATGCTTCCATGAGGAAAACCCGCCCTTATGCGTATATAAGGTGAGAATTCAGTTCCCTGACGGACTCGGCAAAATCGGTCCGTCAGATAAGATCTCAGTATGACATAGTACCCATGAGGGTAGATGATCTTCAGTTTCCAAAGCAAGCCCGAGTTCCAATAATCGTCAAAGAAGTAGTTTTTCTAGAATTGTGGCAAGAAAAGAAAGGAGACTGATGGGCCGATAGGAACTTGGAAGATCAGAAGGTTTATTTGGCTTATGACTATTTTAATTATAGAGAACTTTCATTGCAATGGAAAATATGTGGTCCTGAGTATAGAGTTGTATAGTTATGTTAAGCAAAGTAAGCCTCTGTGGGGCAAATTTTGTAATATTTTTGTTGTAATTAGATCATAACTTGGAGCTTTCGTGAAGGTACTTATTAATAGTGTGCCGTATGTCTGATGGAGTAAATGCTTTATTTGCAATGTTGTTCAAATCGTAATTAATTTAAAAAATATTATTTAAGAATTCCACAGTAACACCAATTGGATTAGCGATTTTTCACTCCTATTCTGCTTTTTTGTTATTTTGTATATGCATGCCCGTTTTCTAATAATTAATTGCTAATACATTAGAAATATCAAACTATTGATGTAGTCTTCATGTAAAATTACTATTTAAGCATAGTCTTGGTAAGACGGGAAGAAATCTTGAACATAGTAAAACTGAACTGGCTGTAAATAGTTGTAGTCAAATAGTAAACTAAAGTTGTTTAATACCTCAGCAAATGGAAAATAAGAAAGTAATTGTTGCTTTGTTTTATGGTAGAAACGAATTGAACATATAACGAAAGGAGACTAAATTGAATAGAGGGAAAAAAATTGTCGTTCTCAAAGAAAATCTGTTTTTATTGTATTCTATTAATCTTTTCCAACTATTATTTCTGATGCATACATGCAAATCTATCTGCCACGAATTATTTTCAACAATTGAATTGTCTTTCTACATTCTCTTGTTCTCTGATATTGTATTTACAAAAGAGTCAAAGATTTAAGGTGGTTTTTCCTCATTTTTGTGGTTGATTCATCTGCTTCAAGTTAGCCGATCCTACTGGGAAAAAGATGCATCCGATCTAGCAATATTCCCCACATGCAGCCCTGCGGCCACGGTTCTCAATTGATTTTGACTCAATTTTTCTAGAATTTTGGCAAGGATAGAAAGGAAACTGATGGGTCGATAAGAACTTGGAAGATCAGCAGGTTTATTTGGTTTATGAACCATTTTATAGATAACTTCCATTGCAATGGAAATGTGATCCTGAGCGTTGTATAGTAAAGTAAACCACTGTGTGGCAAAGTTTGTAATATTTATGTTGTAAGTAGGTCGTAACAGGGGAAAAATCGAATATATTTTTAGTTAAAAAAGTTTTGGACTTTAACCACATGTTAAACTAAGTAAAACGAATGAAATAGAAGTGAAACTCCAACGTCAATTAATAAAAGACAAATGCGAGTTTATAATAGTTCTGTTGTGGAGTCCTGAGGGACCAAGACGTACAAAAACGCCGTGTAATTCAAACCAGACGACAAATTACCGGCAAAGGGCGTTTATACACGACACATTGTCTGAAAACCGTTATAACTAAATTGCAGTACCCTGTATATCGTGGACGGTGACGAGTGAGGGAGAGGAAGTAAGGCGTGGCCCCAGGCGAAGAGGGGATGATCCGAGACCAATCCTCGCCCCCTGTGAACAACCCCTGTCTTCCTTGTATCGCTTACATCTGCTCTCGCTCTCGTTCCCCCACGTTATTAGACTCTGTCACCCTTTAAATTAGCTTCGACAAAAACCCCTCCCATTCGGCTGGAGCTGTATAAACAAACGTCCGCTCATCCATCCTCGGATGCCTCCATTGGTTACCCGCCGAGGGACTGAAAAGTTTCAGATGTTTATCTGAAAATCAATAAAATCGGAGATAGCTTCAATTGCCGAGACCTTAACTTATTGACGTCTCTAAAACCCCCGAGATTTGTTTTCTAGGATTAAACATTGATTTTTCCAAGCAACAAACACTTTTTTTTTTAAATACACTGAGAGGCAAAAAATTCCACCAAATTGTTTTTTTGTTTTTTTCATTTTCTCGATAAACGAAAATTCTGCCCTTAATTTGTCTCATTGTTTTTACCAATAAAAATTTGTTTATGCTATGTTTTAAATTGGGAATATCAATTAGACGTAAACACAATTAATCCTTAATCCAAACAAGAATAAAGGATTTTTCAATGTTAACTTTTTACGGAATTTAAAATGTTTATTCAGTCTCATTTTAATTCTGAAGCGATAAACTGTTTTAGTTTTCATCTTTGTTTTCTTAATTTCAATTTTCAAAATTAAAAATGCCATTTAGTGCTGAGGATGTTGCGCGTGGTGTGGCACTTATTGATGATGAATGTTCCATCAGGATGCGGCTATTGCCATCGGAGTTTTCTATGAAACTCTGCGAGACGCCGTTAGACGTTTTCGAAAAACTGAGTCCTACCTTAGAAGGCGTGGTTCTGAATGCCCTTCGGTAACAGAACCACAAACGTATTTTGACTTTGAGAATTTTGCGAAATCGGCACCTTACTGTTCAAGCGATTCATCAGCTCCAAGAAGTTCGAGGTGTCCAAATTTTCGAACGCACTACTCGAAGAAGATTATATCAGTATGGACTGCTTTTCGTCCCGTAAGGGGGCCAGAATTGACCAGAACACACAGAGATCCACGGCTCGCATTTACTCGAGAACACATCCATTGATCTTTGGACGACTGGTCTGCTGTACTTTTTAGAGATGAATGTAGATTTGCTCTACGATCTCCAGATAGGCGTGAAAGAGTGTAAAGAAGACGAAATGAAACGTACGATGCTTGCAATTTTTCCCAGAGCCAATCTTTTCAAGGTAGCTCAGTGATGGTGTGGGCGGGAATTTCAATGAAGAGTCGCACAGAGTTGGTTGTTGTTCTTGGAGGGTCTTTACCGTCCACTCGTTCTGTGGATGAAATTTTGGAACATCGTGCGTTGCCTATCCTCGATGAAATCAGCGACAATACTATTCTAATGCACTATAATGCCCGTCTCTAGCATAGTACAAATCTTCAACAGCATAATACCAGGGTCAGCCTGAGCAGCCCGTTCTCCAGACTTGAAACCCATCGTGCATTTATGGAATATCTTCAAAAGACGAATAAGAGGACGTTCATCACTTCCTTATACACTACACAATCTTGAAAACACGCTTCGTGAAGAATAGGATAACCTCCAGCAAAGAAACGTTTCCAGTCTGGTAAAAAGTATGCTGCGACGTTTTCGAGATGTAATTAAGGCAAGAGAAGGAAATACGCGATCTTGAAATCTTAATTAAAAATCTAAAAGTAAATTAAAACGAATTTTATTTGTCCGTCTTTTTTCATTTTCCTTAGCAATTTAATTTTTTTAGTCAAAGACTCAATTATTATATGTTAAAAA